GGGGGGGGGGGGGGGGGGGGGGGGGGGGGGGGGGGGGGGGGGGGGGGGGGGGGCCCAAGATGGCCTCTTCCAAAGAGACGGACACGAGTCGGGCGTAGAAACAGGGTCGTTCACTTTGTGTGACGTACAGTAAAGTCACTTCCTGCGTCGGCACGCTGACGGAATTCTTGCACTTCAAGGATTTAATTAGAAAGGGGGTCCCAGCAACGCTGTTGGGGAGGGTGTGGGGGGTGGGGTGTTTCCGTGACGATGGCCCCGTTCACCAGGCCTCGGTGTAACGAACATCCACCTCCTTCAGATTGGGCAGCTTAGCCTGTGTGTGGGACAGCAGCACCGTCAGTTTGACTTGAAAAGAGCAGCACAGTTTCCCAAAAACAAATGTGAAACAAAGGAGCATGGGCCCAGACGGGCATCTCAGCAGACGCCCACCTTGAGGTCCTCGTAGGTGTCGGCAGACAGCTTCGTGCTGTTCATGTTCAAGCTGCAGAGGCTCTTCATGGCTGTTGGAGATATGCGAGACCCGTGAGATGCGCATGCAGGCAGGCAGTGTGCCAGCGGTACCAGCGGGCACCTGCAGACCCATGGGGGCAGAAGCCCTGCGTCCGCTGTCCCTTGCGGCTCGCTGCCCTCCCGCCCCCCCTCTTACTCAAGGACAGATAGACAGAGAGGCCGCCCCCCCCCGCCCCCCCCGGTGCTCTTACAGCTGAGGGCCAGCAGGCCAGCGTCCGTCACGGGAGTCTCACACAGGTTCAGCACCTGCAGGGAAGCCAGGTGCTCGGAGAGGAGGCGCAGGCCAGCATCGCCAAACTGAGACACAGAGGGAGGAAGAGGAGCAAATAGTGATGATACAGAGGAGTAGAGGAGAGTGTCGTCCCCTCTGCCCCATCTCCGGCGTCACAAGCTCCACCCTACCAGCTGGTCACCTGATCAGGGTCTAATCGAGCAGGAGGGGGAAGGGGGATAGGAGTTCACATTCTGATGTGGGGGGGGGGGGGAAATCACATTGTACTTTGGCCTAGATATGCAGATGACCCAAGCGAATACTGTCAGCCAAAGTGAGTCCGCTGATTACAGACAACACAGGACCGCAGTACCGTCAGCCGCACGCATATCCAGTGCGTTAAAGGCGAGGCGTGTGTGACTCAGTGCTGCAGCCTGTCCCTTAGCATATAGGGGATGTTAAGACGGGGGGCTGGCCAAAGGTCAGGGGTCAGGGGTCAGGCGAAGGAGGCAGACCTGGGTGGACCATAGGTTGAGCTGCTTGAGGGATGGCAGCTTGATGAGCTGCTCGGCGCAGGCGCTGGTGACGTTGGTGAAGGCCAGGCTGAGGTTCTCCAGGTTCCCGAAGGAACCAGAGCTCAGCAGCCGTGCCAAATCGGCGTCCTGGAGACACAGTGGAACACACCAGTAAGCACAGGGCCCTGGAGATGGTCTGAGCACTGAGACAGACTGAGAGGGGCACTCACTGTAGACTTGGAGGGCAGTGTCAGCCGTGTGGGCCCCCCTTTCCTTTGCTGGGGGGGGTAGAAGACAGACAGCGGTAAAGAGAAACGCCCCAAAAACAGACATTCGCTCTTCAGGTTCCTGCCTCTGCAGTGTCCCAACAAGCGAGAGAAAACTCTCCCCTCCCAATTAGACAATTATTAAAAATTGAGAACGATAAGAGACCAGAAACAAAGGCTGATGACAGAACAGAAATCGTTCTTGGATTGAGTCTGAGAACTAATTTCACACAAACCACCTTCCTTGTTCCGCACTGTCATCACACTGTCGTTGTTAATGTTGCTAATTGCTTTGAAATAAGTGCTGGCTGCTCATGGCGATGAAGCACCCTTCATCTGAATGAGACTGTGCTTCCTGTATGGATGGAGGCCAATCGCACGCTTCCCCTACATACCAGCAGATGCCAGCAGTGAGCTGCCTCTCTGGGCGCCACACTTCTACCAATTGGACACGATATTGTGGCAGCGGGCGAAAGGCGCCCCCCCCCACCCGGGCGCCTGGCCTGGCTGCAGACGATCTTTATGTGGCAGCAGGGGCCTGAAATCTCTCACCAGCTCCTTCAGCTCCCGCTGCCTGTCACACAGCTGCTCGTACATTCGCAGGCCGACCAGCGTGCTCTCCAGGGTGGAGATGATCTGCAGCTGGGTGTCCTTGTTCTCTATGATGTTGTACTCCAGCATGAGGCAGAGGATCTGAGACACACACACACACACACACACACACACACACACACAGTCAGTTGTAAACACAAACACTCTTACATATGTAGCTAGATTTGTGATTATGATTATTTATATCAATTTCTAACCCCAAACTGCATAAACTAAAGCAGAGATTAAAATGAAAAATGGTCTTTTTTGTTAAACACAGAGTCAGCTGTGCACACACACACACACACACACCACATAGATCAACACACACACAGAGACAGAGACACAAAGAGACAAACAGACTAACAGAGACTAGCAGACAGAAACAAAGACAGACAGAAATATAGAGACAGACAGAGACACAGACAGACAGACAGAGACAAAGACAGACAGAAAGAGAGAGACAGAAACAAAGACAGACAGAAATATAGAGACAGACAGAGACAAATACAGACAGACAGAGACAAAGACAGACAGAAAGAGAGAGAC